CAGTATTGATTTTGTCTCAGCTTGTGCTCCATTCAAGTTCAGAACCCAGGATACATTTGAAAAGTTTCACTTTGGCTGGATTAGGCTTTCTAGAGTTAAGTTATCTGTACTTCAGTTCAGTCCTCAAAAAGAAAGGGAATTCCAAGCAGCCACTAAGTGTTCAAGGTCATTGTTCTAGGCTTTTTGCCAGCGCTTTAGATAGCTGTTACAAGTAACATAAACAAGTTTAGTTTCCAAGAGTTGTTGCTAATGATGGTTTTAAGAGAAAGATTTTTAAGTTTCTAACGACAAAGTAATACCAAACTTCCCTCCTTGAAGTATAATTAAATGTCTAATTAATGTCCAATTTATTTTCTTTACCTCTCTTTGCATTTCTTCTCTCTCTCTAGATTCACCGCTGCTCAATCAGTGGTGAGGGATAGAAGACGCTATTTCTGTTGTAGGGATTGTCTTGTCCAGGGATAGTGATAAAGCAGTACAGTTAAGAAATATTTCTTACCCAGTGGTAATACTATGTTAATTACCTGATTTATCATTTCTCCATTGCTGGCTGCAAGCTAGTTCAGCTGCTTGTTTCCACATGCTGGTTGATTTGGGAGTTTCTTGGATCAAACGGGTAATCGCTGTCCCCCCGTGATCAACAGGCTTCTCCCCCGTTTCACCACCTCTTCGGGGTGGTTTTAACCCCCTGGGGGGTGCCAAGCAGGTCAGAATTCAGCCCAGGGGAAAGAGCTCCGTCCTCCTGTGTCTAGTCACAGCATCAAGCTGTATATCTTTTTTTTTTTAACTAGGACCCCAAAGTTTGCAAACTGGAGCCTGATAATAAAGACTTACACTTAGAATTAAAGAACTGGATCCAAGAATTTGATTGAGTACTAAAACAACTGGTGCATGCAGTGGGAGGAAGATTACTCCATCATCATGGATGAAGATAAGTTTGCTAAAATCACAGGCTAGCTCCTGTTTCTGGCCAATTCTGAATGAAACTCAAAATCCTTATGTGCATGAGTCTACTCCTGATTTCCTCAAGCCTTTTTCATTCTACGTGTATGGCTCAGATGGGTGGGGAGAGAGTATGGTTTCTCTGCTAGTGTCAAACATTTAAGAATAACACCTTGTCAATCTAATGTAAATCTTCCAGTGATCTGCCAGTACATTCATACCTACTTCTCCCCATGCTTGTTCTACAGTTCAGCCTATATATTAGTGTCCATCATCATAACCCAAACCCAGTCTTCTGGTCATGTATTGAAAAACTTTGTCTTGTTCTGCCTCATATCAATTCTGTACTGATTGGCCTCAATATTTACAGTGGTGACCCGTTAGACGCTTACCCCGGTAAACGACAAAATCGTTTGACGATGACTTTTGCGATCACAAAACAATGGTTCCTATGGGGGAAAATCCATTTTACATTGATTAGGTCCTTGCTTCGCGAACTGTTTGTTCGCAAAATGATGTTTTTTCTGGCTCCGCAAAATGGCTTCCCTCCCTTCGCAAAATGGCTGTTTTCTGGACAGAAGCTTTGGATGACAGCGATTTTAAACAGCTGATCGGCGGTTCTCTATGGGTGATCTTCGCTGGATGAGGAGGTATTTCCCCATTGGAATGCATTAACCAGTTTTCAGTGCATTCCAATCATTTTTTTTCGCATGACTACAATTTCGTTATACAGCAATTTTAACGGAATGGATTATCGTCGTCATGTGGGGCACCACTCTATTGTGATATAAGAGTGCAGCCTGGCAGTTTTAATTTTGGATATGGCATATCATTTTATCTTGGACCTCATGAAGACATGTTTCAGCATTTTTTCTTGTTTCATTTGTAAGCACACTATTATTGCCACATGAAAGTATGTTCAGGAGTATGGCATTTATTGGGAGAAGGAAAGAATAAAATTTTAAAAAAATCAAAGCAGAGCTGTCAAAAACTGACATTAAAAATTGACACGTGTGAGGACAAAATAGTGATGGCAAGATACATGTGACAATTGACATGTTTCAGCATTTTTTCTTGTTTCATTTGTAAGCACACTATTATTGCCACATGAAAGTATGTTCAGGAGTATGGCATTTATTGGGAGAAGGAAAGAATAAAATTTTAAAAAAATCAAAGCAGAGCTGTCAAAAACTGACATTAAAAATTGACACGTGTGAGGACAAAATAGTGATGGCAAGATACATGTGACAATTCCTAGAATCATAGAATAATTGAATTGGAAGGGGCCTATAAGGCCATCAAGTCCCCTCTAGATGGTTTACATGGCTGCCATTAACTGATGCGCTGTGCAAGATGACATACATACACAAGGTAACAGAAAATAGATTGAAAGCAGCAGATGAAAAAGTGTTAAGAATACAAGCTATGCTGTTACAAATCTTTATTAAGGACTGGACTGGAGACTGTTATGAATAGAATCATAGACTAATAGAATAATGGAGTTGGAAGGATCCGATGATGCCATTAAGTCCATCTCCCTGCTCAGTGCAGGAATCCAGGTTGAAATACATCTGACAAATGGCTGTTTAGCTTTATCTTGAATGCCTCCAGTGTGGAGAGCTAACCACTTCCTGAGGTAATTGGTTCCATTGTTGTACTGCTCCAGTAGTTAAAATGTTTTTCATGATACTTAGCTGGAATTGACTTCCTGTAATTTGAGCCAATTATTATATGTGTTGCACTCTTGGATGATTGAGAACAGATGCTGCCCCTCCTCTGTATAATTGCCTTTCAATATTTGAAAAGTGCTGTCTTATCTTCCCTCAATCTTCTTTTCTCCACGCTAAACATAGGGCTTGGTTTCCAGTCCCCTGATCATCCTTCTTGTTGTCGTCTGAGCCTGTTCCAGTCTGTCTGTATCTTTCTTAAAGTACAGTTGGATTAGTTTCTTCCAGAACTGGACACATTACTCAAGATGAGCCTAAAATAGCTTTCCCCCCCCCCCTTTTTTTTTTGCAGCCACATCACACTATTGGTTCATATTTAGCTTGTGATCTACAACAATTCCAGGATTCTTCTTGTATGTAGCATTGCTGAGCCAAATATTTCTCATTTTATCTGTGTATTTGGTTTCTCTTTCCTAAATATAGAACATTGCACTTATCCCTCTGAAATTTGTCTTAAATTTATCTGGGCATGTTTAGAAGAAAAGGGTTCAGAGGGAAAACTAAAAGAATGACCAATATAATGATAGCCAATAAAAATAATTTATTTGTATCTTGTTTTTCTTAACACAGAGTAAAGTGATAATAGACATCATTCATAAAAGTACATCCGTTTTCTAAGAATAATAACAAAGAACATATAAGCAAAATGTAAATATATTATAAATAAATGAAAGTATAAATGAAAAACAACAGCTAATCAGATGCCCATTTACTGTATTATGTAATATCTTTTACCCTTGGTGTTATTACATTAAAACAGGTTCTGAACCAGATCTATCTACTCCAGTCTATTCTACCCACAGTAACTAATCAGATGCCCATTGGTAACTCAAAAGCAGGACATGAGCAGAACAGAATCGTACCCTCCTGCTGATACTTATCAGCAACTGACTTGGGAGGCATACCTATCTGATACTAGAGATAATATATTGCTGCTATGACTAGATGTCAGTGATAGATAACCTTTGAAAAACAGGTGTATACAGCTCTTCTTTCCCCAAGACGATATATAAGCAAGACAGTATATCAGAGTTGGCTTTCTTTCCTGCAAATAGTGAAATTTTCCATATAAAACAGGCACCCTGTTCAGGCACTACTAGAAGTTAAGGAGTGAGTAGATGGCATTGCGTAGAGCATATGTTTTGCATGTAAGAAATACAGCTACTGACGGCTGGAAGTGTATTCAGAAAAGAAGCAAACACTGCATAAACAGGATCAGTCAGCCTCATCTTCATTTACATAAAACTCAACAGAATCTTGATTTAAGACATTGCTGATGATTTTATAGGAATTCTGGAATATACATGTTTTATGTTTGCTATTATTCTGCATAAATAATAGTAATGAGGGAAAACTTAAGGAGATATCACCACTATCAAATTTTAATTTTGGTAGCTGCTAGAGATAGTAACAGAAAGCAGCAATGTCTTGAAAAGACTCCTGATGAAAGTGAAAATAGAAAGTGCAAAAGCAGGATTCCATGATGATGAAGAAACTGTTAGGTTTTGCATACCATGGTTCAATCATTTGGTTCAATTCAAATGGAGACTGCAGCCAAGAAATGGGAAGAAAGGCAGCTATGAAGGAACAAGAAGAAATCCTGTAGTGGAAGGATATGTCACTGGATACCAAGGCCACATTATTTTATTTCCAGCTACTATGTATGAATGTGAAGCCTGGACAGTGAAGAAAGCTGGCAGGGAAAATTTTATTCATTTGAGATACTGTATAGTGCTGCAGGAGAGCTTTGTGAATACTGTAGACTGGTATAATGACAAAGAAGTGAATACTAGATCAAATCAAGCCTGACCTTTCTCTATAAGTAAAAATTTATAAACCTGAGGTCATTCTTGAGGTAGATTGTGAGAACACAAGACTTGCTGGAAGACCATATATGAAATGGCCTTGAGCTTGTCAGAGCTGAGCAGGGCTATTAACAATAAGACATTTTGGAAGTCACTCATACATAGGGTTGGTATGGGTTGTAGGCAGTGTAATGGCACATAACAAGAACAACAGCTGCTGCTGAAGTTGGGAATCAGCAGCTGTGGAGAAATGTGATGTACAATAAATGCCTTAAAACATTTTGTAACATTAGTTGTTGAAAATATATTTGCAGATTCATAGACTGTATGATTAAAATATTCTTGAGGCTATGAATTAAGAGTCTGCAATAATATTGAACAGAATGTGGTGTGCTTTTTTTGTTTAAAATTCGTGGGATTTTAATGCTAGGTTTGGTAGGCTAAATGCTCAATTTGATTTGGAGGCAATTCGTTAGTGAAAATATGAGGCCTGATCTCATGTTATTCTTCAAATTGGCAGGTGATCATTATCATCAGTAAAATAAGGGGCTAGCCTACCCTGTGCTTTATACATTCAATAGCTACATTATGGGGAGAGAAGGGTGTACAAGAACAACAAAATCGGGGCATGTAGAGATATACAGAGATATGCACACTTCAGCCAGTGAATGAACACAGGGTAGTGATCGTGGCCGGAACCACAGAAATCAGTGCAAGACCTCCTGTGGTAAGTTTTGCCTAATTGATGGACTTACTTTTGAGTTGCATTCATTTTGTGCATTTTTCATCAAAGAAATCAGAGTGGCACATTCAATAAAAGTATTTTTATTTTCTCATTTTCCCTCCCCCCTTTTGTATTCAAATTACTTTAGCATATTTTTTTCGTCCCCAGTTTCTTTGCAATCATTCGTGGTGGGATAGGGGAAAGGATTGAGAAAATAAAATATGGGCTAGACATCAATTTAATCTTTTTTGTTTGTTTGTTTGTTTCTCTTGCAGGTCGGATACTGTATCATCTGTTAGAAATTATACCATTAGAGGAGAAGAGCATGGAAAGGCAATTAATGATCCTCCATCTAAAGGATATTCTAACCCAGGCAGGTACAGTTGCAGTTTTCTGGCATGCATTTCTTTGTCCTTCATAGATATGGCATACTTTGGCTCTGTCCTTAAAATTTCTGCATATGAATGAAGCAGATTATTGATAAGAGCATGGCAAATTAGAAATTGGATCATCAAGTTTCTGTCAAAGAATAATAAGCTGTCTTTTTTTTTCATTCTAGATTTTAAACAGGATCACATAGAGAACATTCATTTCCCTAGCAAATTACCTCTCAGAAGATTGAGGAAGATGAGAATGCAGAATCTGACTAATATTAAAGTGCCTTTCGCTGTCTGCTGCAGAGATAACATCACATTGTGGATTATTTGCAGGAAAGGGTGAAAATTCTAATCGTGTGATTTTTCAGGACAGATCTGCTCACTTTTCATGTTTTTTTTCCTCCAGTGAGCATATATATGTGGAAAATATTGTGTAAAAATAAATGTAATGTAGGAGGGAAAAGTTCAATATAATTTTGTTTTGTTTTGTCTGTCTAGTGATTGGGGAACCTTTATATTTTATCAATGCTTCTCATATGAAGAGAAATGATACTAACTTTGATTTTATGCTGATTTTTACATTTGATCTCACACTTCATGTCTTCCACATTTGCAGAATTATTTTGAAGTCCTATAAATGAATTTATAGGAATCACTGACAGGCACAGGCCCTGTCTGCTAGACTTTTTGAGAAAAATTTGACATTGGAGTGCCAAATTATAGACGTAGCTCTTAAGTACAAAGTTACAGATGTGAAAAACGATAACTAAGTTATTAGAAATTTATGTCACGTTATTGGTCATTCAGAAGATTAATACTTGATACAAAACAGCAGATGTTTAAATGGTTGGGACCTAATTAGATTTCAAAGGCAACAGGAGTGTGTGTGGATATGTTGTTGTAGATGATTACAACATATAGAGTATATGAATATCTACATGAGGCCTCTGGGTCAGGTCATCAGGGGGTGTGGGGCTTCGTGTCATCAGTACGCTGATGACACCCAGATCTATATCTCATTTTCTCCATCAACAGTGGATGCCTTTTTGTCCCTTCATCGCTGTCTGGAGGCCATATTGAAATGGATGCAGGTGAATGGTCTGAGGGTGGGTGGCCCCGATGTCAATGGTTTGGGGAACTCCCTCTCTTTTTGGGGGGACTCTCACCACAAAGACTTCGGTTTGCAGTCTGGGGGGTCCATCTTGACGCGGCGCTTACCATGGAGACCCAGGTAGCATCAGTGGTCTGTACCACCTATTTTCATCTTTGACGAATTGCCCAACTGCATTCCTATCTTGATGTGGGGGCCCTCTGGTCCATGCACATGTAGTCTTGAGATTAGACTACTGTAATGTGCTCTACACGGGGCTACCTTTGAGATTGATGCAGAAGCTTCAAATGGTGCAGAACGCGGGAGCCAGACTTCTTACTAGGGTGAGAAAACATCAACATATCTCCCCTACTCTGGCTGCCCTGCATTGGCTGCCCATTCATTTCTGCATTTATTTCAAAGTAGTAATGATGACATATAAAACCGTAAATGATTTAAGACCTCAATATCTGGCGGAACACCTCCTCCCACCTAGATCTACCCGAATCACTCAGTTTAATAAAGATGGGTGGCTGAGGGCCTAACGCCGAGGGAGGCCCCAAGAGAAAGAACAAGAAAGTGGGCCTTCTTGCCAGTGGCCCCTCGCCTCTGGAACAATCTCCCCCCAGAAATATATCTGACTCCCTCGCTGGGTGTTTTTAAGAGACAATTCAAGACCTCGCTCTTTAGGCAGGCCTTCCCTCCTGTCATTATCTAATTTATTTGCTATTTTTAATTGCATTAATGTTGTTGTTTTATTTTTTATTATTCTTGAGTATTGTTAGCCTCCCAGAGTAAACTTTGGTCTAGATGGGTGGGATAATGAATGAATGAATGAATGAATGAATGAATGAATGAATGAATGAATGGATTTATGATCACACAATATTAGCAGAATTATATTTTGGTGGAAGTTATTACCATGTAGCTCATGGCTTCATTTTTTTATTTGCTCATTATTTTACCTAATTTGAATAGACCTTGTTCTATTCAAGTACCTGCTTATGGACATTAATCTAAGATACAGCTTTGGAAAAATCCAGAGCTAGCTTTACCAGCCATCTATCACATTACCATTTTATGAAAAATTAATGGCGCTCTACTATGCTTGAGAAAGTGGAGCGGGCGGTGTAGCAGGAGATAGTTGAGTGGGGGATGGAATATGTGAAAGAAGAGATAACAAGGACAAAGGCCATTTAGGCCATTTACGTCCCCTCTTGAATTTAGTGCTGTTTTCATTTAAATCAGGGGTGTTCAACCTTTTACCTTCCCTGGGCCACATTAGAAGATGAAAAGTTCATTTGGGCCGCACATACATTTGGTTTGGGCCGCATGGGGGGGGGCAGCCCTAGCCATCCGCCACAGCCCTGCTTCAAGCACGCTTACCGGCAGCTGCGATATCAGACAGCAGAGGCTGCCAGCTTCGACTCTGGCGGCTTTATGGGGCCGGGAGGGGGTCCACCTATTGACGGGGACAACACAATGCAGTCATGCAGCCCCCCGTCCCCTCCCCTCCCACTCCTTCCTTCCTTCCCTCTCTCCCCCTTTACTGTTGTGACATGCCCTAGCCACATTCCGGCCCCAAGCACCGGCAGTGTAACTTGAAACTTTGGAATTTCTTTAAAAATAAGAAATTGCACTGGGCCACATTACGAGCTGACCTGGGCTACATGCAGCCCTTGGGCCGGGAGGGGTCCACCTATTGACGGGGACAACGCAATGCAGTCACGCAGTCCCTCGTCCCCTCCCCTTCCTTCCCTCTCTCCCCCTTTACTGTTGTGACATGCCCTAGCCACATTCCGGCCCCAAGCACCGGCAGTGTAACTTGAAACTTTGGAATTTCTTTAAAAATAAAAAATTGCACTGGGCCACATTACGAGCTGACCTGGGCCACATGCGGCCCTCGGGCCGCAGGTTGGACAAGCCTGATTTAAATGTTCCAGGCCATTTCTTAAATTAACAGTGGTAATGACCATCTTTTTCTCTGCGTAGCAAAGATAATTCCTGTCCTAAAGCTGCTTGCCACATTCTGTGCATGCATTACCTTTACACTGCCCATATGAAAATACCTCAAAACCTTATGTCACCCATGGCAATTCTTGCTCATCATAAAATTCCTTTTGTAGCATATGTCATAGCATTTGGTATAGTTTAGTTTTTACAGTCATTGAAGAATACACTGTAGGAAAGCACAGTACGTTCAGCTCGCATGGAACTGCTATATGCCAATAGGATTTTATCAATGTTTCATTCGCTGAAAAAAAAACCTAGATGTTGAGGCTTACATTCTTTCTCCAACCATCTAGTAATTCAACAAATACTTCTTATATCAGCATATTCTTCCTAAGGTGTTTTAATTATATTATAACATTATAGGGTGAATATTTAGAAAATAGAATGTTTGTGTAATCATAATGTATGTATAAGATAGTCCTAGATCAGAAAAATCTCATTCTTGCTCTGACCTCCATACTCAATAACAAAACTTTTCAGATTGTTTTCCTGAAGTTTATTCATTCAACTGCTAATATACATCTCCTTGTTTCACACAGTAGACCCTTGTGCTTAAGTACAGTATATCACAGAAGTGAGTACACCCCCTCACATTTCATAAATATTTTAGTATATCTTTTCATGTGACAGCACTGAACAAATGACACTTGGCTACAATGTAAAGCAGTGAGCATACAGCTTGTATAAGTGTAAATGTGTTGTCCCTCAAAATAATGCAACACATAGCCATTAATGTTTAAACCGCTGGCAACAAAAGTGAGTACACCCCTAAGTGACAATGCCCAAACTGGGCCCAAGTAACCGTTTTCCCTCCCTGTTATCATGAGACTCGTTAGTGTCACAAGTCTCGGGTGTGAAGGGGGAGCAGGTGTTATCGCTCTCACTCTCTCAGACTGGTCACTGGAAGCTCCACATGGCACCTCATAGTAATGAACTATCTGAGGAACTGAAAAAAGGAATTGTTGCTCTACATAAAGGTGGCCTAGGCTATAAGACATTTTCCAAAACCGTTAAACTGAGCTGCAGCCCAGTGGCCAAGACCATACAGCAGTTTAACAGAACAGGCTCCACTCAGAACAGCCCTCACCATGGCTGACCAAAGATGCTAACTGCTTGTGCTCAGCATCATATCCAGAGGTCAACTTTGGGAAATAGATGTATGAGTGCTGCCAGCATTGCTGCAGAGATTGAAAGGGTGTGTGTGTGTAAGCCTGTCCGTGCTCAGACCATACGTTGCACACTGCATCAAACTGGTCTCCAGGACTGTCATCCCAGAAGGAAGCCTCTTCTAAATATGATGCACAAGGAAGCCCACATACGGTTTGCAGCAGACAAGCAGACTGAGGACATGGATTTCTGGAACCATGCCCTGTGGTCCGGTGAGACTAAGATAAATTTATTTGGTTCAGATGGTGTCAAATGTGTGTAGTGGCAACCAGGTGAGGAGTACAAAGACAAGTGTGTCGTGCCTACAGTCAAGCATGGTAGTGGAAGTGTCATGATCTGGGGCTGCATGAGTGCTGCCAGCACTGGGGAGCTACAGTTCATTGAGGAACCATGAATGCCAACATGTACTGTGACATACAGAAGCGGAGCATGATCCCCTCCCTTCAGAGCCTGGGCCACAGGGCAGTATTCCAACATGATATACACAGTTCTAACTGTTGCTTCCTGTCCCACATATAGATTTCTCAGGAGATAGATAAGGTGGTCAGGAACTCCCATTTTTTAAAGAACTCGCCATAGTTTCCTGTGGTCACACAGTCAACGGCTTTTGCGTAGTCAATGAAGCAGAAGTAGATGTTTTTCTGGAACTCTCTGTCCTTCTCTATAATCCACTGCATCTTAGAAATTCGGTCTCTAGTAATAATATCCACCAGCTCTGTGATGCTATCATGGAGGAGTGGAAGAGGACTCCAGTGGCAACCTGTAAAGCTCTGGTGAACTCTGTGTCCAAGAGGGTTAAGGCAGTGCTGGAAAATAATTGTGGCCACACAAAATAGTAAACAATTTGTTATAGTTTGGACATTGTCACTTAGGGGTGTACTCATTTTTTATACTAGCAGTTTAATTATTAATGGCTGTGTTGCGTTATTTTGAGGGGCCAGCACATTTACACTGTTATACAAATTATATGCTCGCTGCTTTACATTGTGGCCAATTGTCATTATTCAGTGTTGTCACATGAAACGATATACTCTCCAGGATGTCTGGCTTAAGGTCAGCAACTAGTGATGTCCATGTGTAGAATCGCCTCTTGTGTT